ATCTTTTATTTTTAGCTATTGTAAGTGCTGGTTAGATTCCTGTAGTGCCCCATGGTGGAATCATGGTACCAATAATATGGCTGAAATTGTCTGTGCTATGTTCTAACTACAAGTAAGGAAATTCTTCTTCACCCTTGGTCCCCTGTGGCTTTTACCCCACATCATCATGATGATACCTGTACCTACATGCTACATATGTGAAAGCTTGCAAATCCCTTCTATTGATGCTCCTGTTTTTTTCACACGTGTGTGTGGGAGAGTGAGAGAGATAGTATCAGCATTTATCTTCTTTCAGGCTACCTCATCCCTCCAGATTCTTCCTCTCCATTACTGCTGACCAGGTCCATGCACACAAACCTTCAAGTCAAATGTCTTTTGCAGTCCTTACCTTCAGTCCTCAGTTATCACCGGATCTTTCTAAAGCTGCCTTTTTAGGTATAGTTTGTCCTTGAAGATCTGTGTTTCTTTGCAAGGTTCTCCTTTATGTAAACACGGTGTCTAAGTTCCTGATGATAAGTGGATGAATGAACTCCATTGTCAATGGCTATTAGGAATTATTTGACTATTCGGTTTCTGTGGTGCTCCAAACTTGTCTGCGCGATGAACCACGTGCGGTAAGTGTGGCAGGTTTTCGTATTGTGTGTTTCTAGGTTTCCATTTCAATCCTTGGCTTCTGGGGGTTGATACAGTGGTCTTGCAACATTGTCAGGTCGCTACATCCGTGGCATGTTTCACACACGGTGCTGGCGGGTTATTACAGCGCTGTGATCTGGCTGTGATGGCGAGCGGTTGCCGTGGAGAGCCGTCTGGGCGGCGCACGTGAGGATATAAATGGTATGCAAATCTGTCTGTCTGCTGTTCGCTGGCCGCCTCGTCGGGAGGCCAGCGGTGAGTCAGAGGAGGGGGGAGGCGGGACTCCCACGCGACACAGAGCCCCCCGACGGCGGCTGTGACGCACGTTGGCGGGCCTGACGTCCGATGACCGACACACGCACGCACGCACAGGGTGGGTTTGCGTTTGTAAATACGCACCTTCCTGGAGGTCATCAGGTTGTGGTGTGTGCACGCGCTCACGGTGAGGCGATCGGGAGCAAGGTTTTCCCGTCCCACGGCACCGATTTATCGCAGGTATTTCTGCACACCTTTACAAGCGAGCGGCCATCTGGCCTCAAAGACCTCATTCACGGCTGCCCTCATATCAAGCGGCTTCCTATCTCTGTCTGGGTCTTGCTGGTTTCTGTCCTCCGAGTTGGCCCTGCTCGGCCGCACGACTCTGTGAATGACTCCGTGTGACATGATCAAAGGGTTTTCCGGGGGCCTGCTGAAACTGGGGGGGGGGGGGGGGGGGGGGAGCCGAAGCTACAGAGGGCAGCGCAGGGAGGGAACAGCGTGTTCTGTTCATTCCCAGCTGAGAACAGTCTGTGCCTAGAGCCGTCGGGGAGAGGGACAGGGAAGAGGAGAGGAAGGAGACGCGGAGAGAAGGAGAGGGTGGGACAGGAGGGAGGAGGGGGGGGAGAATGAGGGAGGGAGAGGAGAAAGGAGGAGTGAAAGGGAAATGGGGAGGGGCAGAGAAGGAGAGAGGGAAAGAAAGGGAGGGAGGGAGAAGAGAAAGCAAAGGAGAGGGAGAGAGACGAGGACAGGAAGGAGACGGGGAAAAAGGAAGAGTTGGAGAGAGGGGGAGAGAATAAGGGAGGGTATGAGAGAGGATGAGTGAGGGAGACTGGGAGAACGAGAGAATGAGAGTGAGGGAGAGGAGAAAGAGGAGGAGAGAGAGAATGAGGGAGGGAGAGAGGGAAATGGGGACAGAGGGAAAGAAAAGGAGAGGAGGAGGAAGAGAGGGATTCTGCTGGGGCTGTTTTTATGGACAATCGTGCTCTTTATAAATTATAGTCGGGGGGGGGCGTGCCAAGGCCTGCCCACTTCTGCAGTGTCTCTCTCTCTCTCTCTCTCTCTCTCTCTCTCTGCTTACTGTTACTACTACAACTAATAATAATAATAATAATAATAATAATAATAAGTCGGAAGTTGATCTGGCTGCTGCTTTTCCCCATGCATTCTGCAGGATTCCCTCCTGCGCTGATTCTGCTTAAGTGCTTCACTTAAGAGCCCTACAGGAAACCCTCATCTGGGACTGGGGCCTCTGTCACGTGCTTGTGTCCTTAACAACCATGCCACCTGCTGCCCGCCCCCACACACACAAACACACACACACACACACACACACACGTAAGTGTCTGTGTGTTTGTATTAACTGCATTGTGGGGACTGTTAGAGCTGGGTAGGGGTTATTCCCATAGAATTACTCCCATAGGAATGAATGGAGAGAGTCCCCATAAAGATATGAATACGTGGAGTGTGTGCGCGTGTGTGTCTGTGTGCGTGGGTTCCTCTGCAGAGCTACTTCGCTAATTAGCTAACTGGCAGTTCCTCCTGCATGGGAGGGGGGGCAGCTGTGGTATTCCGGTAATGTCACCGTAGGTGTGTGACTTTACATTTTTTCTCCACACTGAGGTGCGACTAGATGCACATTTCAGTTGCAGATGTCTGTGGTGTCACTGTACAGTGATAAGAACCGTTAATTTTCCTGTGGCTGTGGTGGCGAGCTTTGTGTATCTCTAAACGCTGCTTGTTTAACAGACATCACCTCGTTATCAGTCTGTTCTTGAAGTTCTTCTTGGGGGGGGGGTGATGGTCCAACAGCAACGTCACTTGTAGGATTTAAACCCACAACCTTCAGTGCAGCCCTTCCTTTTGCTGGGTGGAGACAGTACTGTGCTGCTGTGTTACGGGAACATGTTTGTGTGTGTGTGTGTGTGTGTGTGTTTGGGGGGGGGGGGTGTCATGTATATATGACATTGTGGTGACTACTTCTTATTTTGACTACCTGTTATTTTGATGCTGTGGGGACCCCCCAAGGGGAAACTCAATTTTTTTAAAACCTGTGACGGTAATCAAAAACTAATAATGGGAAAAGTTTTGTATTTTGTTTGGTTACTTATGGTTAAGGTTAGGGCTGGGTAGGGGTTAAGGTTGTCATAGTTACTTATGGTTAAGGTTAGGGCAGGGTAGGTCGCCATTGCTGGGATTTTTTCTCATAGAATACAATGGAGAGTCCCCACAAAGATGAGAATACAAACGCGTGTGAGTATGTGTGAGTCCGTGTGTGAGTATGTGTGAGTCCGTGTGTGAGTATGTGAGAGTGCGTGTGTGAGTATGTGAGAGTCCGTGTGTGAGTATGTGAGAGTGCGTGTGTGAGTATGTGAGAGTGCGTGCGTGAGTATGTGAGAGTCCGTGCGTGAGTATGTGAGAGTCCGTGTGTGTGTGTTAAAGAAATCTGATGCGGTGTGAAGTGGCCTGGGGACATTACCTCTGCGTCTGTCACATGACCTCCAAACGTCATGTAATGAACTCAGCGATATTCCTGCATCTTTCACAAACAGTCCCAATGCGCTGCCAAGAGGGGGCGCCGATGCCCTCACCATGGTGGCCGTGTTGGCTCACTGTGACCGTTAAGTGCCCCCCCCCCTCCCCGTCTGTCTTTATCATCTCACTCTCAGCTTGTAATTGCACCCCCTGTCCCCCCCCCCCCATTATCCTTGTAGGTGTCCTTCTCTCCCGGCTCCTTTCTCTGCCTCCCTTCCCCTCCTCTCCCACCCCCCCGATTTTCTCCTCCTTTTAAGCTGCAGGCTGGCTGACCCAAATCTGTGCAGGGAGAGGAAGAACGGGGGCGGGGGCGGGGAGGGGGGGTGGGCGTTGGGATGAAAGGCAGCCATGTTGGTGACAAATTAGCTGTCATTTAATGGGATTCATCCTGAAGATTGTGTGCGTGTGCGTCTGTCTGTGCGTGAGAGAGTCACTAACAATGGTGGGAAGAGTCTGCTGAATGTGGAGAGCCAGAGAGGGAGCGGCTGGCCGTCGGCTGTGTTAGCTATCAGCTGTGTTAGGCCCCCCCCCCCAGACTGGCCACACCTGAGCATTTCCTTATGGTGCCGTCTGCCAGTCGCTCCTGTTGCGTTTGCTAAAGGCTGCTGCTTCTCCTCGGGGCCCTTCCTGCATCCCCTCCCCCCCTAAGCACACAGCAGGAGGGCGGGGTCGTCTTTGCTACCCTCTGACCCTGGTGTGTGTGGTCTGCTTGCTTTGGAGGGGGGGGGTTGCTGCCTGTAGATCACAGAAACATTGCAGTGACATGACTTCTGATGGCTATTTACGATGCTACATCTATACTCCCAATTGGGCCTCTCCTCAGAAGCGAGCCTATGGCAGTGGGGCTTGTTTTACTGTAAATCTCACCATGACTACACCATAGAAGAGGAGCTGTGTGTGTGCGGAGCTGTGTGATTTTGCGCGGGCATCTATACAGTCACCCCCGCCTGGCTTGGGTCCTTCCCTGAACAATGCATCATCTCGATTCCACCACTTCCTGTCTGTTCATTTTCCACTCCGTCATGGCCGACGATTCACTGTTTACTCACTGTCCCTCTCCAGATGCAATAGGGGTGAAAACGTCTGTTAAAAATGCCCCTTATTTCTTAGTCTAAAGTTTATTTTGTGTTGTTTTTTCCTCTGTCCCTCTCCCTCGGCTGGCCTGGTTCCTGCGAGGCCGTTGCGGTATGCTGCCTGTTTGTGCTGCAGTCCGCCTCCACGCCTCTTACACTGGACTCTTTAATGACCTTTTCCTCCGGTATCTCTGCCTGACCTCTTTCCGCGTGCATCTGCTTCCTGCCCCCTCCATCCCTGCCCCCGCTGCTCTTTTCTGGGAAGCTGGGCTGCAACTCTAAGCTGCCCGACCCTGACAATGTGCCGTCCTTCCTGAGATGCAGGGGGGGGGGGCAGCGGGTTTATAACTGGACCTGCCATGTGATGTCCCCTAATTCTAAACCCCGCCTCTGGACATCACTGATTGGCTGCCTGAAATGTGTGTTTTTTTATTTATTTATTTATTTACTCGTGCACCACTCTGCTAGTGGGTAACTTCGGTGTCTGACCCCCTCCCCCCCCAGGCTGCCTGCTGGGTTGAGGAGTTTTGGGGGTCCCTGCTGACACCCACACCCCTCCGATGAACCCCATCAACTCCATGAAACCCGTCCTGCCTCCGACGCCACACAGGTGAGTGCCCCCCGCCTTCCTATACACACGGGGCCCGTACGCGCGGGGCACGTACGCGCGGGGCACGTACGCGCGGGGCACGTACGCGCGGGGCACGTACGCGCGGGGCACGTACGCGCGGGCAAAGGTGTTTCCCTAATTAGATTACAATGTCTCCTTTTAGTTAACCAACCACTTCATCCACATGGCTCGCATAATTTCCACCTCTGAGCCGATTAAGATAACAGGATATTTATAGCTGCGTTTGGAAAGAATTTGCCGGAAGAAATGGGCTTGGGGCATGGGGTGGGTTGGGGTGGGGGTTGGGGGGTGAATAGCAGTTGGGTGATCAGGATGTCCTGTTATACCGAGGTGTCTGCCTTGAGTCACTGCTCGTAGACTAGCTGTATATAAGTTACTTCGTATAAATGCAGATGGGGTGGTGTGTGGCCCCCCCCCCCCGGCAGGGGACATGACTGACGGCAGCACGACAGGAAGTGAAAAGGCGACTCGGTGGGGTGACACTTTCACACTCCCACACACTTAGAGGTCGCTTTCACCCTGACCCTGTGTGAACTGTGCTCCGCCCCCCTGCCCCCCGCCTCCCTGCCCCCCGCCTCCCTGCCCCCACACCTCTCCTCCTCCCTCTGTCTGCCCCTGCTGCTGCCGGCCTGACCCCCGCAGGGGTGACCGGGTCACCGCGCAGGGAGACCCGTCTGTCTGAAGTTAGGCCTTCCCCCCGTTTGAGGCGGAGCTGCCTTGCCCGCACGCTGCCTCGGTTCCTAGCATTCGCCTCTTCCCATGCCACTTCCTGTGGGTGGCGCCTCGATGCCCGGCCTCTGTCTCCCCTGGGCAGGGCTCTGCAGCCTCTGGTGTCGGTGGTCCATCGCTGACCTCCTGGGATTCTCGGGGCCTGTTTGTGTGGTGGCTGAGCTAATTATGGGGAAAAACTAGTACAGACTTGCTTCATGCAGCTGAAGTCGCACAGAAAATCGTTGGAGTGCCCACACACACACACACACACACACACACACACACACACACACTCTGCCGGAGGTTGGCCCAACCCCTCTCGCCTGTCTCCAAGTGACAGTGGTGTCTCCATGGAAACAGCAGAGAGCCGAGGTTTGGTATTTGCCTGACGCTGACACTTGCAGTCACACTGACTGGCCTCCGGGCGGACCCTTGTGCACAGGTAGAACACAAAGGAAGATGTGCAGCCCCCCCCCCCCTTCCAAACCTGTCCCTATGGTTTAAAGGGTCATAAATATCTTCCTTTTGGGACAGCTTGAAACGGAGCACTCTGTGGGAGGGAAGAGATTATAGCCAGTACTAATAAACGTGGATCCCATTCACAAAAAGGCGCCGTCAGATCATGTGTGCATGTGTGCCTATCCACAGCGACGGCTCCTTCCCGTATGACCCTGTCTCCTGGCAGCAAGGCACCAATCAACCGGCAGGTTCCCTCTCCGTGGTAACAACTGTGTGGGGGGTGACCAATCCTTCGCCCAGCCAGGTAAGGCCGGTTGGACCGCTCTCCCGAGAGTGCATAAATCATCCCGGTTTCCCATTGGGCCGCCTATGGACCAATCACAGGTCCCAGTCTGAAAGGAAGGATTGGTCTTATTAGCATGATCGCATGAACGGTTTCCATGATTAGGGTTTGTATTTAAACAGCATTCTCACATGCTGCCGAAGTCGATATGTTACGCGACAGGAGCCTTTTCTCCTCTTATTTCCCGCTGAAATGCTCTTTGATAGGTCAGTCAAACGAGAAACCAGCAGCCCGCAGTAAATGAACAGAAACTCTTTTGTTATAATTAGCATTTAATCATCTCAAAGTACCGATTGTCATGATAGCTCGTCTGAAAGGGACGACTGCGCAAATGAGCTGTTATATAAAAACAAACGCTGAGTTGTGACTCTCTGATCATTAGCAAGGAGATGCTGGACAGCATGTGCACCTGTGTTTAATCACTGCCTATACCGCCGTTTGTTTTTTTTTTTTGACAGGGATGGTTTCCGCGGCGCCGTTTAAGTAACCTTTCCCGCTTGTTTCTAACACTACGATAAACTCTGTTAAACAATGATAAACACGAAGGCTCTTTGTGTACCAGATGGGTTTGGCCTCGTTAGCTATCCAAACGAGCGGCCTGAATGTCCATAATGCCACTCGTGTTGTTTTTACTTGTCAAACAGAATTAAGGCCATTAGCCGGCGCCTCTGTGAGCTGCTAAAGGTGAATCCTCACCCTCCCAGTTTCTCTGTAGCCGTGTCGGAGGGGGGGGGGTCACTGGGCAGGGGTGGCCTCCGCTACCTTCTCTGTGCCCACACCTGCCACATTCCCATCATGCCCTCCTTCCCACAGGTCTTGGGTGCTCCCATGGGCCCCGGCGGAAACTCTGCAGGTGGCCACATGATGTCGGGCGGCGGGGCTGGCATGAGCTCGCCGCCGTTCATGGGGCAGCAGGGCTACCCCGAGGCCAGCAAGGGCTACATGCAGCAGGCGCTGTACGGCCGCTCCGGGGGGGGCTACCCGGCGGGGCCTGGGCCTGGATATGGCGGCAGGTGAGGCAGAGCTTCCGCGACGTCAAATCTCCCGCAAAGCACCATCTATCCTCCTCCTATCCGCTTGACTTTCCCAGCAATATAAATCGCAAGGCTGGGGTACACTAGCCCCTTCCCCAAACACATGCTACTCAAGTTCTATGTATTCCTGGGTGTTTTCGCTGATTGTGTGTCTGCGGACCCAAACCCGCCTCCCGCGTGTCCCCATTGCCTGACGTCATGCCCACAGACAGCTGTCACTGCTGGGCTTTCGCGTCTCCCACTCCCGTCTGAGTCACCTCCTGCCCCCCCAGCCCCCCCAGCCCCCGGCAGCTCCGCAGTCACGCTCTTCACTGGGCACCAGCTGCATTTGTTTGCATACTAGCAAATCCTCTGAAAGGCCCTGCTTGCCGTTTTGCACGTCTGGCTGATGCTGGGTTGGGCTGCTGCTAGCGAGGTGGATCAGAGCATGCAGCCATGGCGCTGTTATAACCCATAACGCATGCAGCCATGGCGCTGTTATAACCCATAACGCATGCAGCCATGGCGCTGTTATAACCCATAACGCATGCAGCCATGGCGCTGTTATAACCCATAATGCAGCTTGAACACAAACGGAGGCCAAACCAGCTGTAACGCTTGCTGATGCTCTGCTATCCTTGTGTCCTTATGGAAGAATCTCTTCAGCTCTGTTGGAAAAACACACTGAATATGGGGTGAAGGCTTTAAACCCACTGTGGCTGGGATTACTATGGGCTGCCATTCACAGCCTGATTGCTGAACCGGCTTCTCATTGGTCGCATTATTGATTGACAGCACGTGATGATCCCGCCTACTGGCTTTAAGTGGCTCATTGCGCCAGTATCTATGAATCATTATTTATAACTGGGGGTTTGCTAACCAGTGCCTGTCTGTTTTTGTCAGCTACCCTAACAGCGGTGGGGGCTCCATGGGGATGCCCCCCCACGGCGTGCGCCCGCCAACCGACTTCACACAGGCCGCCGCCGCCGCCGCAGTGGCTGCGGCCGCTGCCACAGCAACAGCAACGGCCACGGCCACAGTAGCAGCCATACAGGAGAAGCAGAACCACGAGCTGAATTACGGGCCGGTGAGATGCGGGGCCGCACGCTCTTTATTAGCTAAGGAGAGTTACCCACGCCCGTGGCGGCCGCGTCGTTGCGGGCGTGCTGGTGGCTGAGGAGGTGGCACTCTGACAGACAAGGTGGAGACTGACCCACACAATGCACTGCTCCCCCTGCTGGCTACACAGGGAACAACTCTGCAAGATCTCAGCCTGTCTCTGTCAGAGATGGTTTCAGTTACAATATAAGGAAGTGACATTCATTAAGGAACACCTCACACAAGCGGTTTAAAGCCGGGTGTATTAGGTAAATGGGGTTTGGTTCCCCCTGGGTGGCTGCCAACACTTTGTAATAATCAACACTGAACCTTGTGCTTGGAAATGTTGAGGATCCCTGGTTTAAAGAATAATATCTCAATTGTGTGCCAGGGAGTGCGTTGTGTTTGTACACAGGCTGTACGTGAGCTTGTAACTGGAAGGTTGTGGGTTCAAATCCCAGGACAGGTTCTACTATGAACAGAACTACATGTGTGTAAATGGTCACCCTGGATGAACGCATCAGGCAGGCTAAGCTACATGTAAAATGTGGACGTTGGTGCCATTGGGGCCGGTTACCGGCGGGAGGGGGGGGTCCGTCTCCCACACAGCCTCCTCTGTCTCAATCACTTTATCTCGGTCTTCCAGATGGGTGGTGGCGCCTCCTACAACAGCCAGTTCCTGCCTCACGCAGGGCCCCGGGGCCCGCCTCCTATGGCCCCCGGCGGCATGGTCCCCTCCCGAGCCCCGTCCATGGGGCCCATGTACAGCGGGCAGGGCCAGAGGATGCAGCAGCACCCGGGCTACCCCGGCGCTCAGCCAGGACCCCCCCGGCCACAGCACGGCATGAAGCGCCCCTACAGCTCCGAGGTCAGCCTCCGCCCGGCCTGGAAGCGACCCCCATCTGCACGTCACACATCCCATTTGGTCCAGTTTAGAACATAATCACACACTGGCTTTGGGTCCATTGGGTGACACAGTAGATCGTGACCTGGGGACTGGGTCATACTTACTGTGGTCGTGTGCAGGGATGCGGGGCGTGTGGCTGAGATGGCGTCATTTTTGTCACCCAGGTGGGGTGGGCTGTCTGCCTTGGGAGACCTTGCGCAAGGCTGCATACCACCCAAAAAAAACAGTGACATTCAGTGACACAAGCATGTCTAGGGGAGAAGTAGCAGAAAGTTAGAAGGGAGATCGGATCAAATATTGTGTACAAACACCTTCTCTACCCTCTGTGATCAGAATGATAATGAATATGGGTAACAGATATGAAGAATGCTTTACTGCGAAAGTCCAGAGATCCTTGTTACAGGATTATAAAGATGCTTAGATCACTATAAACTAAACTAAAACACGTTTGTACTGTAATGCCAGATATTCCTGTCTATGTTCTTGCATCAGCTATTTTCGAAAGCAGTATTTCTAGTTTTCATCGTACTTAATGCTAACGTCAATAACCCTACCTTGCGTACTGTACATAAAAAGTACACATTTAGTACAAAAATTCTTGTCTTTAACGTAACACCCATACACTTCATAAGCATGACTTTTACATGCGGTTTTGCTCTTCAGCGCCATCCCAAGCCTACATGCTTGCCTGATACGTTGACATAAGAAGTACAAATATGCAGGATCGCGGATGGTCCACCGGCAGTATGAACCAGGCCCAATGTCTCAGCCATATGATTAGGGTTAGGGTTAGGGTTAGGGTTAGGGTTAGGGTTCTGGCTCAGAATGGCTTACTGGCAGTGCCTACTTCTTCTAAATCATAAAGCACACTGTGCAGTCCTGTGGTTCCGTTATGGTTAATGTTCGCATTGCTGCCGTGGTCGTGACTCTGGACCGTGCGAGCTGTCGCCTGCTCACTCCTGCCTCTCCTCCAGGCGCAGGGCTTCCCTGGGCAGCAGTACGGCCCTGGCGTGGGAGCCGCGGGGCCCTACCCTAACCAGGCCATGCAGTACCATGGCCCCGGGTCGCAGCGCTCCGCCGCCTCGCCCTCCTATGCCGGCCACAGGATGCCCCTGCAGCAAGGCAACATGGGCCAGTACCCCCCAGGACCAGGAAACCCAGGACAGTACTACAAGGTAGAAGACCATCACCCGCCTTAGACGCTTCACCCACAGGGAGAATTAGCTAAACAGAACTGTCGAATTTGATTGTGATGCCAATTTTTTTTTCCAGACGGAGTTCAACGGGCAGGGAAACTCCCTGTCAGCCCTGACGGCGGGTGGTGCAGGGGGGGGCGGCTACAATACTTTCAATCAGCCTGCCGTCAATGGAGTGAGTCTCCGTGTCACTATCTGCACAATTACCAAGGATTTCCCTGGTTGGTCTGGTCCAAATCTCACCTGCCCCCCCTCGTTCGCAGCCGGGCCGAGCGATGCCAGGGTATCCAAGTTCGCCGCTCCCCGGGAACCCCACCCCACCTATGACGCCAGGCAGCTCCATGCCCCCCTACATGTCTCCCGGCCAAGACGTCAAATCCCCATTCCTCCCTGACGTCAAGCCCAACATGAACACTCTGCCGCCCCCTACAGGTACTCACTCATGTTTACAGACACATGGGTCAATTTGATATACCAGGGATATATGGGGATCTTACAACTTTAAAAAGGATATTAATCAGAATTTTTGTGCACTTTGATTTAATTTAAAAGTGATTTGTCAAAGAGCACTTCATGGGATTGGTGCTAATCCACCGTATTCCACATCTTCCCCAACACAGGGAACCCTAGTGACGACCTGCGGCTGACCTTTCCCGTGCGGGACGGTGTGGTTCTGGAGCCGTTCCGCCTGGAGCACAACCTAGCCGTCAGCAACCACGTCTTCCAGCTGCGGGACTCCGTCTACAAGACGCTCATGTTGAGGTGAAGGCAGCCGCCGTCGCCGGCAGCGGAAAGGGCCTCCTTGTGCGCGTGCGGAATGCTGTTATGTGTTCAAGAAAATGAGCATTTTGTATTTTGCTTCATGGAATGTGGATCCTGGCGCTTCTCGATGTTCATTTCACAGTCAGCTTAAGATAGCTTGAGAGAGTCAAGCGAAAACCTTGGCTTATACAGGAATAAAGACAGTCGGGCTTGTCAGTGGCTGATCTTGAAGTACACAAATGATATTGTCCTTGGAACTGAGACAGAAATTTTATTTATTTGTTGTTGGGAATAAATTATGGTCGCTTTTCCACTGCTACCAAGAACTGAGCCGTACCGCAAAGAGACGGTTTTCCATTGTAAATTTTGGAAGCTGTACCTGCTCTGCTTGCATCACCACCATATAATTGGTCGAAGTGGATGGAGATGCCGATGATCTGTGCCAATATGCATGGATTATCTGCAGGAAGAAGGGCATATTCTATATATTATTCATTATTATTCATTATTGCACATTGCAGTGTATTGATGCATTACCAATAACCTGGAACTTGGAAATTTCCTACCTCCTACTTACAAATGTACTACAATACGGTTGAACAGAATATACGAATTCTTGTATTCCTTAGTCAAATATGCTAATGCTAATTCTACTAGCATTTGACGCTAACAATTTTCATAGACATGCTAATGAAAATTAGCACACATTGAATCATGATGTACACCGTGTGGACGGTATATATGCATCTCTTTGATTTTATATCACTGTCGCTCTCAAACCCAGCAGCGCCTTTGCCGAGCTGATCTTTCTGCAGTGGAAAACTGAAGCGAGCTGGAATTGTGCTGTAACTAATGTCTCTTGGGGGTGCGGCTTGAGTACAGCCTGCTTTCCCGTGGAACTAGAATTTCCAGGAAGTAAAATGCTAACGGGTGTACGGCAGGTCAAATACAAAATTTGAATCCATGTAGTTCACCTTGGGCACAGGCTTAATCTAAAAAAAGAATATTAATAATAATAATAATAATAATAATTTAATCTACCCTGCACATTCACCCATAGGCCCGACCTGGAGCTGCAGTTCAAATGCTACCATCACGAGGACCGGCAGATGAACACCAACTGGCCGGCCTCGGTGCAGGTCAGCGTCAACGCCACGCCCCTCACCATCGAGCGCGGCGACAACAAGACGTCCCACAAGCCCCTGTACCTGAAGCACGTGTGCCAGCCGGGCCGGAACACCATCCAGATCACGGTCACCGCCTGCTGCTGCGTACGTGTTCCCCCCCCCCCCCCCCCCCCCCCTCCGTCGTCCGTCGGGGGTCCTTAACTACATCTGACGGTCTGTCATTTTTCGCCTTTTTCTCTCCTCACCTTCACCAAAAGGTCGCGGATTTTGGCACTAAATCGGCTCTTCTCTGAAGTCGCCCCCCCGCTTATGAATGTCCCCCCCCTTCACCCTCTGCTACCATGCAGATTAAGGAGTGAAGTTTACGGGAGACTGAGCGTTTCATTATTTTGTTCAAAACAAAATCCTGTTCTGATAACAAAAAAAAGGCAAATTATAGCACTAATACAGCGTGATTATTTTTTATTTCTGTCTGTGCCGACTCTCCCTGGCCTGAGACTTGGGTCGTTTCCCTTGCGTGTTTAGTCATGGACTGATTTCTGTAAAATATTGACTCAACCTGATCAACCATAACCTTGATTGTTCAGAAAATCCAACTCCATGCTGAGAATCGGCCCACTGAACCAGTTTGTTTAGCTGGAATCGGGATCCTGTGGCGTCAGCCGTAGTACGGACCCTTCCCAATAGGGCGGCGCTCTCAGCTGATGTGTGTCCATGTGCCCCTCTCTTGCAGTCGCACCTGTTCGTGCTGCAGCTGGTGCACAGGCCGTCTGTTCGCTCTGTCCTGCAGGGCCTCATGAAGAAACGGCTGCTACCGGCTGAGCACTGCGTCACCAAGAGTGAGTGCTCCCCCGCCTCAGTACTGGCCCTGCCCCCGGGCGGCAGTGTCTGAGCTGCACTGACATGTGTCCCCCTCGCTGTCCCTTCCCAGTAAAGAGGAACTTCAGCAGCGGCACCATCCCCGGCACCCCTGGCCTCAATGGGGAGGATGGCGTGGAGCAGACAGCCATCAAGGTGTCCCTCAAGTGTCCCATCACCTTCCGGCGCATCCAGCTGCCGGCTCGCGGCCATGACTGCAGACACATACAGGTGGGCAGCGGGACGCACACACGCACACACACACACGCACACACACACACGCACACACACACACACACACGCGCAAGCACACACGCGCGCGCACACACACGCGCGCACACACACGCGCGCGCACACACACACACGCGCACACACACACGCACACACACCTTAGGCCACCAAAGAAACTTATAATTAAAGCTGTTTATTAGGAGAATAAGTGGATATTTGCTCAGAAAAGACATCATTTAATATATACTATTATACAGTACTACACTAACACGGAACAAGAATTTGTCCAAAATATTATGCATGCCTTGTTGGATGGCTGGAAGAACATAGCTTTGGTTCCCAGACCTTTTGGTTCCCAGACCTTTTGGTTCCCAGACCTCTCCTCAGGGAACCCAAGCCTTCTCTATGTATTTCCTCACCAGCTCACTTAAGTAACTTAATTAGTTTACTTGATGAGGTGTTGATGAGCCAAACATGCCAGCAAATACACGGATGTATTGGATGGTTGCTACAGATACTGGAGTGACTTTTGGGGAGGTTTCGAGATGCTGAGCTGACACATCACCGTAGATGGCTGAGCTGACACATCACCGTAGATGGCTGAGCTGACACATCAC